AGTCCCCGGCTGGTAGTGGTTAAAGATTTAAAAATTTAGTAACTTATTTAATCTAATTAAATGATTCAGACAGTAGTTTTGGATTTTGTTGTTCTGATAAGTGGACTTGCTGAATTCAACAGGGATTGTGTTTCTATGTTGCAAAGTTTAGGTGCACATATGGCAGCCTATAAAAGGGTCCAATATTTGATAATGCTCAACATTGAAGATCAAGGCATAAAGCATTCTGGCCAGTGATCAACATACAGGTTTGAAAGCAAGAACATGCTGTTGTGGGTACCATTAAAATTGGAAAATAATGTCTGGCATGCAGAGATGAACAAAATTTTACAGTTTACATCTAGACTCTGAAAGCTGACAGTCTGGTGGTCAGAAGTACAAATGAGTAACAGGCATATGCCGAGGTCAGGTCATCTTTGCCACACATTAACTAGGGAACCAAGTCATAGCGCTGGTCAACAAAGGGCAGATGCCGATGGGGGAGCCCATAGGGGAAGTCTTTGGGGTGCAAATGCCCTTCTCAAGCCCCCATTCCCCCTACGCCACCACAAAACATTTTGGTTCAGAATTTGAACAGAAAAAAAATGAACTGAACAGCATTTTTTTCTGATTGACGTCACAGCAACAGCACCATCGGTTGTCCAGAAAAGCTCGGAAAATGTTTCGAAAAAGTGCAATCTTCAGTAGAGTTAACCGTGTGCAAAAAGTCTACAAACATTTGACTACATGGACCTTTTCAAAATTACTTTGGAAGAACTGAATCTGTTCTGCTAAGATGTGCATGAGTGAGCAAGTTGTACACCACACAGGAAGTTAATGACGACCTGTTTCTTTGCAATGCTAACATCACAGGCAAAATCAAATCCGCTACGAAAAGTCACTTCAGATGATTTTTTGCACACGGTCAAACAGCTTTGAAATTATTCTTATTTTTATATAATGATTCACTTTGCTCAGGTTGCTACTAAGAGTGAGTATGTGCTTTACCTTTGAGGAAGTTTGAGACATCCTCAAGTTGCGGAATGTTGTCCTCTCGGTAGCCACAGTTCTCCACCAGGAGGGAGAACATGTGGTTGAATTCACGGCAGGCGTGGGTGGGGAACAGCTTGGTAAGCTCTCGGAACATGGTGCCCCAGGTCTTGATCTCGTCGGCTGTGTAGGTAACGTGGGGAATCGGGGTCCCACTGCAAAGACAATGAAGACGCAAAATTTGCATTCGAACATTCACTTTGTTTGAACAAAGAAGGTTAAGGCCTGAGGTTGGAGAGTGATATCAACTCCATGGCAAAGACAGTGATGATGATGAGAACACCCAATATCACAAACCGGTTTCAGAAATGAAGATAGGATTGGCGCTTCTTTGGCTCATTGTGACAATGATTCCAGTCCAAATTGGCGCCTATGATGTATCTAGTTTTGGTCTATAGAGATTGGGAGGGGGAGATTTTTTCCCCAAAACAATACGGATGTTTCACAATACTGCGCCTCCAAGAGTCTGCAAGGCGTTGACCAATCACAGCTTGCGAAATCTGTCGACCCGATGCGCGTTTGGAAAGGGTCAACAAATTTCGCACTCTGTGATTTGTCAATGCTTTGGAAACTCTTGGAGGCACACTATTGTGAATCACCCATATTGTCTTGTCCACGAAAGAACCCTTCACCCTCAAAAGGTGCTAGCACTGTCTATAAAATGTTGCTCTTGGTTCCTAATAAATTAGCAATAAGTTCCCCGGGGGTAATTTGTTATTTGATTGAAACCTGACAATAATCAAATCATCCGAACGAATTTGGGATACAGCTTTTTGTTTCCACTTAAAAAACAAAAAATCTAACTGGTGACAAGAATCGTTCATAATCTGCTCTGCTGCAGAGAACTGATCTCTTCGCTGGCTTCTGCTTCAAGTACAAAGTCAGCTTGCAAAGGTCCATGGATAATCGGAAAACACAGTACTTTGGGGTTTAAAGATCGGACGCTGGGGGCACGGTATACACAGGGAGTCTTACACAGTCTGATTGGTTACGAGCCAAAAACTGACATCAGGCACAAATACATATGACATTACTTTTTAATCCTCTGTATACTTTGTTTTCACTCATGTGAAAAACATAGGATATTCAGGAGAGTTGGTATTTGCGATACATCAAGTTGACGTGAACTGTATACATCAAAAGTTCCATGTGTAGCCTATCATAAATGAAGTTGGAAGTTCACGGTTTGTATCAAATACTAAATTCGAGCACTGTTTGTTGATAAGACTGCGAGCGAGGCCGTTGGTGGTTTACACAATTTCACCTTGAACAACCACTTCGGTTAACAGCAACAAAGACAAGTGATGTCCAACGTGTAACTGCAATTTCATTACAACTCACTATTTGTAGTTGAAGGCAATGTCAGCAAATTCTTTGCGCCTGGCGCGGTACACAGGATCAGTGAAGCCCTGTGGAAGCATCAAGGGGAATTAAGAAAATTCATTACTTGCTGTACAAGAAATTTGGAAAGTCACAAGGAATGGATAAATCTGTAACTTTTACTCAACAAACAAAACAAAAAAACCACGAAATTTACATCTCTTTAGACTTAAAATCACTGCACTTCCAAAATACATTTGTGCGCTATGTTTTTGTCCAAAAATGTATGCTATATGCTTTTTAAATTGTTATTTTTGTAGGATAAAAAAGACTGCTGAACCAAAATATCTACAAAGTAGTGAGGTTGTGTTATCAACAAACAGAAGGGCGGCATCTGTGTGATCGGTGCAGTGACCACAATATATTAGCTCCATGATCCGTAATTCCGTTTACACATTAAATACATGTACATGTAGCTTATGAATTAAGTGACTGCAAACAAAATTAATTTGCCATGGGCTACAGGGTGATAGTACAGCAACATGTAGGTAAACAACTTGAACTGTTGGGCAAATGGTTTGGCTCAGCTCTGTGGAAGCCACCTCGTTTGCATAAAGCCTTTGCTTCATTTGATGTAGAAGCAAACATCAGCAGCATTTAATATGCTAGTGGCATTCTAAGAAATTATAAACTACTACAACCTTTTTTAATAACGAAAGAGGGAGTTTAAAAGATTCCTACCTGATGTAAATAAAATTAAAGACGTCATCAAGGCAAAGGAAATTCCTACATGAACATCATTTTTCCTACTCAGGCATAACAGATATGGACTGTAACTTTGTTAACCTGAATGTGGCCTTAATGTACAGTGAATATGTACAAAATAGATGTGATTATGTGCTACGCACCCTTTGGTCTAAAGAGGGCGCTACACTCTGCATCACTGTGAAACACCGCTGCTTCTCTAATTCTCGCGCTTGAAACATTGTGGCAGCGGTGGTAATTAAGCATCATGAACATTCATAGAAGCTTCTGCAACTAATGTTTATCTGCTGTTGACAACATTTCTGGCCTAATTGGCACAATATTTGGCTGTTTTCTGAGATCTGTCATGCAATGTGACTGATTTTCACTGCATGTAACCTACTGTACATATGGACATATATAACTGTGGCTAATACGCCTATATCATTTTTGTATATACACTGTAGGTCATTCCATGAGGTTAGGGCACAACTTGTGACAGTTTCCATTGTTACGTGGGTTCCGTAAAAATGAAAAGCTATTTCCCTGCATGTGAATTCCAAATTATACATCTTGCAAAGGCTGAATACAAAGGTGTGTATTATTTTTACAGAGTAAATGGCCAACTCTACTGGTCATGACAGGCGGTAAAAGTTACAAATGTAACAAGGACACCGTCCCAAATTGTGCCCCAACCTCCTGGAATGACCCCTATGTGAATTCTGCCAAGTTAACTGGAATAATGGCCATCTCTCTCTCACAAGGACATCGACAAATGACTCTTCATCACTCCAAGTGTAATCTCTGCTCTCTGTTTTGCTGATACATCTACTGCATGTGAGTACTGTTGGCTACACCATAAACTGAATCTCTGCTCTCTGAACAAAATACTCCTGGAGCCAGGGGTACCCATGGAGCCTTTTTAATAGCTCCATGTGGTACCCAAGCTGCTTCCAGCTCTAATAATGTGGAGCAGTATAAAGAGCCACACATCAATCCACCGTCGCAATTTCATGCAAGTGCCAAGGATGCATCCGAAGAGTGGAAGAGGTGGCGTCAAATATGGGACTTTATTGTATTCTCAAAAACCTAGCAAGCCAGACTGAGGCTTACCAGACTGCACTATTGCTCCATAGCATTCAATTTGATGATCCTGCGGACAGACAGAAATGCTCAAAGATTCTGGAGAAATCTGACTCACATTTTCTGGGCCAACGTCAAGAATTTTCTGAACGATTCAAATTCAACCATTGTAACCAAGAGCACACTGAGCAATACATTTCTTCAATCCGCAACATGAGCAAAACATGTGGCCTCTGTGAGGGTATGACAGACAAACTCCTGACGGACCGCCTATTGATGGGCGTACGTGATGATAAAATGAGAGAGAAGATGATGGCACCTTATGATCTCACTTTGACCAAGGCAATTGACATCTGCAAAGCAGTTGAGGTGGCAACTTGCAGATGAAAGCCATGAAGACGGAAACTGTATAAAAAGTGAAACCGAAAAAAATCTGACAAAAAGCCACCAAAAGTCAAAGTAGCACCCCCTCGCAAAGCTCCAGTCGTGAAATTGGGAAACCGTCCACTAGGCGATGCAAGTTCTGTTGTGCCAACCACCCTATGAAGAAGGAGCTTTGTCCAGCCTGGGGACGTACCTGTGATTCTTGCGGTGCAAAGAAAAACACTTCAGGAGGTCGAGTGGGCAAGAATCACCGTATTCATGCAGTTGAAGAAGATGGATACACGTCTCTGTCAGCAGAGAGTGTGAGCTGTGTCACGGCGGGTATTGTCCCAGTGACAGGTGATAACAAGCCAGTGCACTGCACCATGGAAATCAAGAGTGAGCCAGTGCGGTTTCAAATTGACTGTGGTGCAACTAACAACTTGATTCCTAAGAAATATGTCACTGACGTCCAACCAGCTGATATCGAGCTCAAAATGTGGAACAACTCCTGCATGAGTGCTGTTGGCAAAAGCAAGGTAAAGCTTTGTAACCTGGTGACACAGAAAAAGTACAAAGTCAAATTCGTGACTGTAGACGAGGACCTCACACCTCTCATTGGTTGGAAAGCTGCTGAACAGATGGGACTCATCACCGTCAACTAAGACAAGTTCTCTCAAGTCCACCATGTTACGCCGACTCATGCTGACTTCATCAGTGAATACCCTGATGTTTTCAATGCATCTGCCACTGGTGCTCTGCCTGGCCAAAGAATACACTTTACCGTTAGCTCAGATGCCAAGCCTGTAAACCGTCCCACACGAACAGTTCCTGAGTCACTCAAACCTGCTGTGAAAGCTGAGCTCGAGAAATTGGGATGTGAAAGTAGAGGTTGATGAGCCCATTAGATGGGTCAGTCAAGTGTCTGTAGCCCAGAAGAAACTTGGTTCTGTCAGAATCTGCATCGATCCTGGTCCCCTGAATAAATACCTCAAAAGGGAGCACTACACCCTTCTCAAGGTACTTGAGACAACCGAGAGAATTGTCTTCTGGCCTGGCATGACATCCGAAATCCGCCAGTGGATCGAGTGCTGTGAGACATGCAGAAAGTATGAGGTATCCCAAGCCAAAGTCCCATTGATGTCCCATGACATACTTGAGCGACCCTAGGAAAAGCTTGCCATTGACCTGTTCCACCCCCACTACTACCTGTTGCATTGGAATCCCCAGCATCACTTGCCAACCCAAATCCGGAAACCACTACCACTACTAGAACACAAACACTACGCAGATCATCCCGCACTCGACATGAACCACTTAAATTCCAAGACTGTGTTCAATTCTAACCACAAGTTAAAAGAACAGAGCCAGACCAAAATCGACTGATTTTCCCAATCAGTTTTAATGTGTTCTGTTCTATACAAAACTAAAACCAAAAGAACCGAATTCTACAAAAGCTGCTCTCCACCAAGATTTTTGGATTAAAACACACACAAAAAGTAGTTTAGTTTTTTTCAAAAAGTAGTCTAGTTTTGCATGTTCCATTTAACCATTTAGTAATTTAGACTTGGAAGCCAGCACTTGAAGGCTCCTATTGCACTACAGCACAATTACAAAAACACCTGGGCCTACTTCGAGTAGCTGTTGCTCTGCATGCATATCGACCACGTGAAGGCGTAACTTTTGAACTCTGATTACAGACTCAAAAAAATCAAAAGGCAACAGACTGTTGAATACATGAACTCAATACACCCCAAATCAACTACAGTACAGTATTTGTAAACTTATTTGGAAACTCCGTGTTAATTTAAGTCAGAGGAGGATGTTACAATATGTGCTATGCACCCTTTGGTCTAAAGAGGGCGCTATACTCTGCCTCACTGGCTGCTTCTACAAAGTGCAGAACTTGAATGAATACTCGTGAAACTCGTGTCGTTTTTTGTGTCATACCAGCGCTTGAACCATCTTCATCACGATTTTCAGAAAAATGAGGAACAATTTCGTAGTGTTCTTTGTTTAGATTGGCAGACAAGCATGCAGATCTGGGCTTACAGTGATTATAATATCTCAACTCACAGAGAGGTCACGCTGTGACTTATGGCGTCATCGTACATAATGAGTACACGTGTTGAGTGCCTAAGAGACAACACTACCAATTTCACGACATAAGATGCCAAATTTCGTCACCACCTGTTACATATACATGCTTATTGGTTTGAATATTAAACAGGATAAAAAAATTACAATGAAATTAATAGCCTTCAGTATATCCCGTAATTCATGATCCATGCAACGTTGAGAGGTGTCTTATCACTGGGTAAACTTGGCATGACCACGGTTACCAGTTCATAGATCACATCTATGCCATGCAGTGTTTTGTTTAATGCAGCAACTTGACTCTGAGGAATTTCAAAATTGACTGTGTGGTTATGAGAATGCGGTGCAGTGACAAGAAGCTGCAAAGTACAATGCTTCTGAGTTCAAAAGTCCGTCAAAACGGAATTTAGACTTTATCCCAAGGGGTGGAAGTGGGAGGGGCTTGGTTGAAGGTGGGGGGTGTCAGTAAAACAGTTTACTCACAGGATGGTCGGCATCTAACTCTGCTCCGTAGCTCAAGATGTTGTTGGCAAACTCGTCCGTATCCTTGATCCTCCTTGGAAACCACGGAACTATAAGTGGAGAAGAGATGCCACAAACAAACACATTCAATCCGTGTGTACATGTAACTGGGAATAAGGCAATGGTTTTTGCTGAAAACAAGCTGAGAATGGTCAGTGGACATGTATGGGAGATGCTTATGGCACAAGCTGTGTGAACATGGAACTTGACAGCGAAACCTGCCCAGGTTAAGAATAAAATGGGAACTATAGCTAATATTTCTACATTGGAACAGCAACTTGGAATCCCAAAACATTCCACACCGGATCTAAAAGAATATTACTTTTGAGGCTGGTAAGAGCCTGGAATATGGAACATTATGGAATTTGCAATTCTTTTTATTTAAAAAAAGCATATCTCCTTAGGGAAGTGACAGCTTGGATTTCAATGTCGTGAACTCCTCATTAAAAAATAAAAAAATGCTGATGAAACAACTCACTGTGACAAGCGATAGAAATGCTCTTTGTTTTCTCTGACAACAAACATCAGGCTAGCCAGACGCATTTGACATGTATTTCCATACACCTCGGATAAATTCACTCTACATGTTTACAAGACACTTCTACACGGCCTCCCTGCCTTGGTCATATATGAGCCAATACTTGCTCCAAAATCTGCATTTTACTTTCAACCTAGATGACCCTCAAGTTTGCTTGAAGGGTATAGTTTTCTTCAAGACTTCAAGTCCAAACTTTTGCAGGTCGAGACCAAGACTGAAACCTTGACTTCTGAGACCAAGACGGAGACCGAGACCAAACATTGCTTTACACTTTCTACCCAAAGGTAAACGAGGACAAGTGGCATAAGAGGATAAATTATTTTGAACATATCAAACAAAAAATTAACATATAACACCAGCAAACATAAATATATTTAATATTTCTTCAAGATAGATTTTGGATTTTTTGCCCTGCCCGACGTGTATTAAATGAGTAAGTTTACTTGAGAGTTCATGGAACAGCCTGTGTTGATTGTATAAGGGAGTAAGAAATACACTGTCTTTATTCAGTAAAAACGGATAAAATTTACTATAAAATCAACATCCATCTACAAAACCCATCCTTGGAAATATTTCTTCAAAACTTTCATTTTACCTCTAGGAAATACAATATAGTTGTGAAAGGCTGCATACTTATGATATGTCAATATCATTACCAAGCGTATGGTTTAATTATGACCATGACCTCCCAAGCCTACTTGGATCTAATTTCAACTAAGATGTATGGCATATTTCCTTGTGTGCCGGCAAAAGGTTGTAAGCGCGCTTATGCCCTTTTGCCAGGAAGCATGATCAGAGCAGAAAAAAACAGAAAAATGTAGGAAACACACTTTTTATCAAGTAAAAACGGATAAAATTTACTACAAAATCAGCACAGGCTGTACAAAAAGCAACCTTTGAACAACTTATTAAATGACGTGGAATTTTTTTTAACTTTTTCCAAAGACAAAGTGAATATCCAAATAAGATCTGGTAGTAGAATATGTACATTTATCGGCTTATAAGTGACAACGTTGATTACTTTATTAGTAAAAAAACCAAACGAAAATAATATATATATGAAGAAACTAATATATATAGGATGAAAGTGAAGTAAATCCTAAACGAAACAAGTAAAGGGAGAACCAATCTATATATAGGACAAAAATACATTTAAAGTACAAAGGTGGTTTATATAGGACGAAAAATAATTGATACATGATCATATCCGTCGTGTTGAGCAATACTTTCCAAGGCTGTCACCTGTGCTGGAAATACTACATCCTGCATTGACTAGTCTCCATTCATGCATCAATTTCATTCTTTATCATAAAAATTTGAACATTATGGTGTTGTATAATTTACATCCATGTTTGGAAACTAGACTCGTTTGGAGGTCAGCTGGTGAGTGCGTTCATGAGTGGTAGCCATAGGTGCACACTTTGTTGTGGTCTCGACAGGTCTCGAGGGGCAGACCCAAGACATTGACATCCGAGACCAAGACCAGCACTTTCGAGACGTGTGACCAACCCTTCCAAGACCAAGACTCCAATAGGGCGAGACCGAGACCACAAAAAAGGTCTTCAGGCGGTCTCGAGACCAAGACCAGGTCTCGAGACCTACAACACTGGTTTAATGGAAGTGTACAAATTGGGCTAGTCATCAGGAAACCTTTCAGTTCTGTTTGGATGGACTGCACGTGAAGACTATCCACATGTTTAGCTAAGCAAAGACTCCTAACGGAGCTTTTATGGAGGATACTTAGGGAGCTCTCATTAGCATAAATCAGATGACTGAGACTGTTATCATGACTTCTCTTTCACAGCCAAGCAGGTTGCAGCTCGTCAATGGACTGGTACATCGAATCTGTATAAGAGCTAATGCAGTTCTCACTTCAGGCGAACGTGAAATGCACAGTGTATTGGATGTCACGCATCCTTGGCAATAAAATTTGCTCAAGCTCCACTTTTGCAAATGCAACGCACCAATACATGTATTTAAGCTGGCATTAGAGTTTCACGTTCGTGTTTACTTTCACGCCAAGCATTTGTCTCAAATATGAAAATTAACAGCCCATTGCAGTACACGTCATGGTAGTTTCCTGGGGCTATCATTGAGGTTAAAATAAGGATTTACATGTATGCTTGTCCATTTTTCTATGGTGTGACAGTGACTGGCTTTCTCTCATAATGCCTTGTATGTATCTAAACCTTAGACAACTTATAAAATTGTACTTCGGATGTCATTACAGAACATGAAATTAAACTAAGACATGTAATGACCAAAAGCAGACGTGACCACACAACATTCCTGAACAAAATGTTGAGGTAAAAGTTCCACGGACAAAAATATTTTTGGTATTTTTAGTTTTCACTTTGGTTTTTGTGCTCAAACCATTGAAAATGTGACAGTGTGTTCTGATGTAACCTTCTCGTTTCAAAAGCTGATAAAGGGCGGAATAAAATTGATCAAGCCAAGTATGTTTTGTCCAACTCTTTTGCCCAACTTTAATGGCATTCACTGCTGGCTATGTCGCGGTCTGCTGACCGTAATGACGTGGCTTACTTTTCTCGACAGAGCCTTTTCGTCGATGGATAAGTGCAATGATTTCATGTGCAGGGGGCAGAGCAGGATGGTGTCACATCGCAAAGCATGATGGGTAACATGCATGGGTTTGAAAATAAAGCAAATAAACAAAAAGAAACCAAGATTAACCACTTCCAATTAAAACACAAAGGGCACATTAACTGTACTTGAAATGTTTCCATCCACCTTTCCTCGCATTCACTGAACCAAATTGATCAATATGGATCCATTTCAAAAACTCACAATCCAAATACATTACCCTGATGGCAAAACGGGCTCATTAATGAAGTCAACTTAAAGGCTCATAAAAAGCTTTGGAAAATGTCTAATTCCCAAGGTATCCATTATTGTACTGCTAGGCAGGGCGGTTTGATTCCACCATGGAAGCTTGAAGGCCATTTTCCATTTTCTCACAAAGTGGAATTACAAATTCTCTTGGCATGTATACATAGAAAGAGAATAACTTTCTCATGGTAAGGACAAGACCAAGCTTTTGAAAAGTTCACTGATTGAAAATGGTGCACAGTGAAGCGGGTGGCAGGGTGTGGCTACATGAGGCATTGGAATGTCGGAGAGAGTGGCATTTGCAGCCACGACACTTCACAGTTTGTTCATTTCCGCAAAAAATGAATTTATATGCACATGTTTTGACTACTTCGTATGTCATCTATTAGTGTTGGTTTCCAGAAGATCAAAAAAGGTATAAACCTTCGGGAGCCGGACAAGATTTTCCCAGAGTTTTTCTTCTTAGAATTCAGAGACGAGGTTTCATTTCTGGGTTTTCGCCGGTCCAAGGGTATTAAGGTATTCAACAGAGAGATTTCGAGGTATAAAATCTTATTTTGGAACATTGTTCGATTGATGTATGATGTATTGTATCTATAAGTAACGAAATGTTTGATTCCACAGCACGAGTAAACCAGTGGAATGACACAAAATTATAAGTTGTTTTGGGGTGTTTAAGCTGGAGTGTTGGGACTGAGTTGAGATCTGGTTCGGGCCTTGCGTCTGGTTTCAATGATCGAGTTTCTGGGATGAGAGCTTCTACAGCTTACTCGTATTTTCTTCTTGGGAGCGCGACAACACGTGGACGTATGTTGCTTCCTCTTTCAGCTTATCCAGGACAGTGTCCAACTTGTCCGCCTTCTCTTCGCAGATGACCAGAAACTCATGGCTGCCCTCGTCCCCCTTGGAGGGGCGGGACTCAATGTGCGACAAGTTGAAGCCATGTTCCTACGGCAAACAGAAACAGGTAGTAGTAAGTTAAAATTTGTCCTCGGCAAATGTGGCTGCCCAGGCTGGGATTCATCTCCAGTTTTGAAGGCATGCAACAGCTTAGACAATCTTTAAAGATGCCCTCCCAAAACTACCAGTAGTGCCTGCATCCTAGTCTAATCCTTAAGTGACTTATCGGCAACTTGTCAGTGAGCAAGCCTGAACACTGAAGTTACCATGAGTAATCTTATTTCAGCATTTCCCCTGCGAGCGGGAACAAAAGAGGGCGCATTTTGTTCGCGTGTGCTTTTACTAGCACAGGACAGGCTGACCACACACGGACCATTTTTGCATGGTGTCTGTGTGTGCGCCTGGCACGCACCTGAGCCAAGCTGAAATACTTTCCACCAGCCTGTCACTTCTTTGCCGGTCTAGGCACACTGTAACTTGGGCAGCTAGCTAGCCATAGGTACATCGATTTACGGCCGCGAATATATAATGTCAGGGTAAGGTTCTACCTCACTAGTCTCTGATGAGTCACACACCCAACGCTCAAACTCAAGCCCCTCAGCTTTCTATCAAGCCATTACAAAATGATGTCCACACTTCCTGAATGTATTCCAACCCTCTGATTGATTTGGACGTATTTTAACCCTCTGAGTGGTTTCAATTGTATTTTCCATCTTTTGCTACTGGTACAGCATGGTCTTCCAATTATCTCCTGATGCCGTCCAGCGAGATTTGCTCAAATGCAAATTACAAAATGCCCGTTAACTTTTTGCCGACCGTAAAAAATACTTAAATAATTAACTCATCACCTGTTAGAAAATCACTGTCCACGTTAATTTTGTACATACTTCAAATAACTTGAGAGTGCGAGCGAGTATTCCAACTTCCTCCTTCAAGCCAAACATGAGGGATGTACGGCCATTCTCCCCTCTCACTTCCGAGTTACCTTTCCCCTGTCACAACAACAAAAGGAAAAACCCAGATCAAAATTCGTGAACCAAGGTCAAACTCACATGATGAAAAACTGAATTATGTTTCTATGATATATGATTATGATGTCAATTGCTTAAAAACATCACATCAACCGATAGATGAATCGTCCAGAATATGTCACTGCCTGATTCATTCCAATGCATGACATAGACATGGTGCAGAGGACTGCAATAATTCTGATCCATATACGTGTAGTGTTTAGTAAATTCATGAAGAATGTGTTAAGTCCCCAATCGCTCAATATTTCTGAACTCAACGATTATGCAGGCTTTCATTTCGGTGGGGATTTAATTTGGATGATAGACGAAATGATCCGTGGAATCCATGTGCTGTGTCTCCTCATGAATATCAATCTTATAAACATTCTTGCGTATACTGGTATGTGTTATTATACGCACACATCCAAGCATCTTTTTTTAATTAACCCTAAAGGAACCGGGGGAGGAATCCAGAGACCACTCCATCATTTCTTCAGCAATAACGTTGCAATGCAATAACGTTGCAATGCAATAACGTTGCAATGCAATAACGTTGCAATGCAATAACGTTGCAATGCAATAATGTTGCAATGCAATAATGTTGCAATGTATTATTTTCTTGATTAGGCTTTGGTGAATCTCGTCAGTATTGTCTTAAGATCATCACTTTCATGGAAATTTGGCATTTAGACATTATTCTATAGAACTGCTCACTGACAAGACAACTGCCCATGGGCCAACATGCCAGTGATAACAAAACCAGTTGTAATACATGTAGACATTAATGTTGACTCTCCAACTTTCCCTTTTCCCAATCATCTTGAAATCAACTATTAGTCTTTTCAATTTGTTACATATCCATTTAAAAGGTCATGACAATCATATCATGATGACAACTTCAAATTTCATTTGTGTGCAACATTCTTGTGTTGACTTTAAAGAAAATTGTAAATCTATTTATAAAACTATACGTTAAATGTTCACAATAGTACCTACATGGGCAATTGGGAAATAACTTGAAAAACCTTGAATTCCTTGGAATTCACACACTATACCTAAAGATAGTTTTTATTTCAACAATTCGGAATTCTGTTTAATTATTACCAGTGAAGCAGAACACAATCAGCCTTTGAGTGTCATTACAGACTGCCAGTTCTTTTCATCAAGTAAAAAGCACTTTATCTGAAACAGCGTTTCACTGCACATGGAGCACCTGCTGGCCAACTACATTAAACCACAAGTGCATGTACAAGTACATAGCGTTAACATGTAATTGGCTGGTATCAACTGCAAGCAACAAAATTTAACTGGCCATTCATTCAATAGGCGCCAGATAATGGTGTATTGCCCTTGGAAACCGTTGACGCATAACCCTGTTCTGATGGGCCCGAGTATTGCATCCTGTAGGCCTACCCGCACAATCTAGTGGCCTTTATTTTGCACCACCAAGAGGGCTGGTAAAATCACACACATGTATTTTTATGTCTGGCTGACAGTCACTGTCATTACAAAAGCTACAAAATGATTTAATCGGTGTTTTAAAAAAAATCAAATGAAATGTGTAAATTTGACTTTTTAGAGCAATGGTGCAAATGTTCATTTTGAGGTGAAATGATCACACACCGGCCTGGGTGTTGTTCCAAAAACCTTTGGTTTCAACTTAACAAAAATAGTTTTCTCGTCAGCCACACATCTCAAAGCCCTGTACAATTTTAAGGAAATGGACAATTTTAAAGAACAAGAAACCAATAACAAAACCAAATTTAAAAATCCTGTTAAAATGAAAACAAAAATGCCTGCTAACAAAGATGAGTTTAAAGACTTTTAAGAGTTTCAAAAGAAACAACAGATTATATTTCAGCTACTTAAGTACTAAGATAGACAACCGCTGTACGTAGTAAATCATTAATTTTTACAGAAATCAGTCGAGTTCTTTAATACCTCTTCACGTGCCTCTGCACGGACAGACATTGAAATTAGAACCTACATGTATGCAAATTTAATGTCACAACTGGTAAGCAGATTTTGTTCTGGATGTCCATTCTTTGACAACAACAGGGAATATCGACTTTGCAGGAGCATGATTTTTGTCCACTAAAACTGCAGTGGACACGCTTGTTCAGTTGTTGGAGGTGCTTGTGAGCGTTGAAACCCTTTTAGAAATTTCCAACCACTAGGGGAAATCCTGCTGCATTGATGGGCCTTCTTACTGTGTTTTGTGTCAGATACCGGTTGGGAGTTTTGGGAGCACTGCTGCAAAAATTCTTCATCAGCTATACAGAAATATAAACACTGTAGATGTAAAGTTCTGAAAATCACATTTGCAAGGACATATCTGTCCGATTGAAGGTGACTCGAATCCCACCCCACACCACCCCCCCCAGAAAAAAATAGTCTCAAGGCCAACACTTACTAAGTTAAAGTTCATACATTAGAAAGGACAAACTGTGCTCTTTGTCTTGGCGTATCATTAAGTTTGGAATTCTGATAAAAATGGTTGTTACTCACATGAAAATGTCAATTCTACAGATTAAAATAATAGAACGTGTAAGATTCTCTTCAAGGCTTTTTTCTCTCTTTTGGCAGGCGTCCATTTCCTCGTCCGATCTCGCATTTCCTTATCTACGTGTACCTCAGGCTTACAATTACATGGCACATCTTACTCAACTGTCACAGTTAGAAACTGTCCATTTTTCACAAGATCATATCAAGATAGAGCATAGAAGTCAATCCTTTCTAAATGGGAATCAACAGCTGTTTTCATAATTCCCCCAAGTTCACTACTTCCCTCATAAGTTTGGACATTAATACTCAGTAAGTGTGGGGGGTTACAAGCCCTTGGCCAGAGGCCAAAGATGAAAGTTCATCTACCAGTATACATATGTTTACATTTGTCCCGGTCAGGTCGATCAGGTCAGGGTCAGAGCACAAAGGGTGCAGATGGCGCTGTGCGATCCTCTGGAAGATCTGCCATCTTCTACTCGCTGTGGTCTATAGAGGCGTCGGCAAGTGACACAGTTCTGAACCACCTGTGCAACTGCTCTGGACCCTTTTACAACCCAGAAACCACGTGCTCGCATTTCATTCTGAGTGATGCCCTTTCCTTGGTGTTGAACCTTTCGATGGAAATGTCAAATGAGTGCAAGCATGATGGCACTGTCGCTTAGGAGAATGACTGGGTGTCCCATGTCATTAGGGAGTTGTGGAAGTCTACCCCCTACCCTAAGGGGTTCCCGGGCCATTGACATATGGATCAAGGTCACGGATCCTGCTTGTGTTCTTCACAACCTTGCCCTCCGTCAAAGTCTGGACCTCTTCAGAGAATGCTTTCCTTTGCACCAACTGCAAGAAGTAGGCCTCTGCCTTCTTTCTCTGTTCCACCAATGACCCTCGTTTATCACCCATTACCACCAGTCGCAGACAAACCAATACGCTTATCATCCTGGGCCAGTCTGAGATCTTTGCCAAGCGCTTCAGCAAGTCAAAGTGCTCAGGATTGGTGTTGCCTACAAGGAGACTTGACTTAACCTCGGGATTCCCAAGCTTCAGTTCTGGAGTAATATCTTCAAGTCTGCGATCTTTATCCCAGAAAAACTGTGGCCCTTGGAAGTATCAAGCCTCCTTTACACTTTTCCAGCACTGAGTCTTCTTGATGCATGATCAGCAGGGTTTTGATCTGTGGACACGTAGTGCCACTGATTGGAAGAGGTCCTTTCTCTGATGAGATGCACTCTACTGGCCCCGAACGTGTGGAACGTTCGGGCCTCGTTATTGAGGTACCCCAATAAAACTTGAGGATCTGTCCAGAAGAACGTTTCTGCATCCTGCAGCTCTAGCTCATTTTTTAGTAGAGTGCTCTTCTTTGCAGACACCACTGCAATGGTCAACTCTAATCTAGGTACAGTAACTACCCTGAATGGTGCAACTCTGGACTTCGCGAAGACAAAGCTGCAATGAACATATCCTTTATTGGAACTGAAACTCCTTCAAATTGTGGTAGCTCTTCAAACCATTGCTCCCATGCAGGTCACAGGGTTTGAGGGATCTCCCCAACCTATTCCACAGCTGCACATTTCTTAAAGGATGTTTTTTCCTTTGAGTACCACGGGTCATACCACGAATGCCACGCCTTGAGCTGGGCTGCTTCTTGTGTGAAATTTTGAAGCAGAGTTGGTCAGATGAAATGTTCCACCAAATCTCTAGCCCTCTTTCCAGTGGTTCATCAAATTTGAGGTCCAAGCCAGTGACATCGATGGAGCACTCTGACTCAGGAATGTCTTGCTGTTTGATACAAACTTGTGGAAACATAGGTCGTCCCTCTTTCTGAGGTCGATAGCTTCTGTGGCCAACTGGATGGCTTTCTCGGCAGTTGGAATGCTAGTGATACCATCGTCAACATAGAAATATCTTGCTCTGAAACTTGAGGCCAAAGGAAAGTCCTTCTTGTGTTCCTCATGATAGATGTCTCAGGCCATAGTTCGTACACCCGGGCGAGGATGCTGCGACTTGTGTCATCGCCCTCCCATCAGAGGAAGCGTAGGTAGTCCCGGTGATCTTCTGTCAAATGGAACTGAAAAAAACATTTTCTCTATGTCGCATATAACAGCCACCTCATGTCGCCTGAATCTGAGCAAAACTCCCATCAAGGCATTTTTAAGGTCAGGGCCTTTCAGGAGATGATCATTCAAACAAGTGCCACCAAATTTCATGAACAGTTGAAAAATACCCTGATCTTGTTGCTGTAGCGATGATAAACACCATGATGTGGGATGTAGTTTGTTGAACCTGGAGGTCCTTCTTCTTTTGCCCTTTCGGCATAGCTCTTGTCGATTATCTGTACCATGAAGGCCCTGTAGTGTTCCTTGTAGCTTTCATCCCTTTCCTTTTTCCTTTGGAGGTGGTTGAGTCTCACTGCTGCTAGGCGCCTGTTGTTTGGCATCTCCGGCATTTTCTTAAGGGGCAGTGGCATTTCAAGGTGACCGTACTTGTTCCCAGTAAGACCTGCTTCCAGAAAATGGATGAATTCAATGTCCTCCTGGGAGAGGGCTACTTCTTGGCATGGCTTCTCAGGGAAATCAGCCTCCAGGGCCTTAAGTACATCCTTGGGTCTGGTTCTAGGCAACTCTCACGTAGCAATTCTACCACATTGACTAGCGTTGATGCTGCTTTCTGGGTTTGCGAGCCATCGATACTCCATCCCAAGTCTTTCTGAAAGGCATATGGTTCCACATCGTTGCCAGTGATGACCTTTCTTTGAATCAAAGCTCTGGGACAATGTATCCGATCAACAGCCCCACTTCATAACTTTGCATAGCCAGCATTTCTCCAGCGATCTCCTGAAGGTGCGGCCACTTATCCGCAGTATCTCTTGTTGGAATGTGATCCCTGTCTGCCGGAATGAAGTCATGTGTACAGCACTTCAAATCTTGAGCTGAACAGGAGTCATCATCCCTCTCACTAGTACATCGGAGAATGCGTAACATTCAATGGTGGTTGAAGATGTCATCGTGGACAACTGTAGTCTCAAGAGCTGTTGACGCACGCCAAGAGCAGCTGCTACATCTCCTAAAAAGAAGGAGGCATCGCTCTGGGTGTAAAGCAGGGCATATGCTAGTGTCTCCTTTGATGGTGATTGCGCTGAGGATACCCACACAGGTACAATCATGGCTGTGCTGGTAGACTTGCCGAAGTGCAACTTGTGAGAGTTGGTAGAAGCTTGGTCAACTCTACTTTCCTGTTTAGAGGACTGAATTAGAACATTTGCATCACCAGTACCTGATCTCCACTCATGTATAGATGTGGGATGACTCTTACTGCATACTTTACACTTGTGTCGTCTCTTGCACTCCTGACTCTTGTACTGATCGCAGTCTTTCAACTGATGGTCTGTACACGCGCACAGGCTGCAACGTTTTGCAGTTTGTTGGCAAATTTGGTGTCCTGAGCCTGCTTCAGCTGTTGTTCCTTACTCTTGACCGCGAACGCTGAGCCCTTCTTACTTGAAACCTTGTCCTTAGCCTTAGAGTCCAACTTTCTTGGTGACTTGTTAATCTTCAACGCTTCAAGAGAGGAGACGGCATTATTGGCAATCCGGGATTCCTTTAGCATGAAATGCACGAACTCCTGGAACTTTGGGTAGACTCCACCTTTCTCAATAGCATCTGCGACTTGCCTGCTCCATAGAGCAGGAAGCCACTCTAGGAGCTGACCAAGCAGCCTCTGATTCTCCAAACAGTCGCTCAACACCTCCAGAGCCTCAACATAAGGCACTGCATCCATGCAAGTCTTCAAGAAGACTGCAAAGCTTAAAGGTGCCCTCCCATCTCTTGAAGCGATCTTTGGCCAGTTGTTCAGCTTCTTGCAGAATGCCCTTTGTACTTCAAAAGGAATGGCCAAATCTCTTATGAGGGTCTCCCAAGTACTTGCATATGCTTCTTCAAAGTTGCCATAGAAGAATACTTCAATTAATTGCCTGTTTGCCTCGCCTGTCACATACTGCTTAAGTTAACACAGCTTTTCTGTAGGTGGGATTTTAGAACTGATCAGAGTCTTGAGGCTCCTTTCAAACTCAACGAATTCAAGTGGGTTACCATCAAATGTGCATGGCACAGGACCTGGAGCGAAGCATGTTGTCTGCCAGGACTTGCACAAAATGTTGAGAGTCGAAAGGTGAAGATGACACAGAATGGTAATCAGCAGGGGGGGGGAGAGAACGGGCCTGATGTCTGGAAGAGTTGCCTGCTTATCAGCTGTTACAGCTGTAGGGTTTTCTTTACCTTGAGGACTTTCGTGATTGTGGAGTGGCTATATCTAGCTAAAATCAATAGCTGGTGACTTGAAACAGCCAACAAATGGTGAAATCAAACATACAATGCATAGCTTGCCAAACATTACAAGAGATTCTCACAATTTGAATGTGAAGCAACATGCAAGAAAGCATTGAGCATCAAAATTGAGTTTGATACAAATGTGTACACCTTGTAAACTTTAAGTGAACAGAACATGAACATTAAGGAGAAAAGAAATCGTTCACCAACTTTGTACGCTTTATTAAATGGGCCATTACAGCCATACTTTCATCAAAGTGTGCCGATGAACCAACTATAATGTTTTCTCCACATACATGTACATAAAATTTCACAATCCCCCCAAAACCTGTGAGCATTCCTCATGAACCAGCTTTAATGCACAATAAGTATTTCAAACTGCCCACAGAAAGTGGTTGTATTTATAATATTTCAACTCCTACAGTTCAATGTTCCAGCCTGTTTGACGGTGGGATACATGCAGTCGAGTCCCTGCCACTGTTGACTCAGGTCTTCTTGTTAGCGGGATGACCACTGTGGGGGGTGCTTTGCTTCAAACTTGAATCGGGTCCACATGAGTTGCTCTGGGTACAACATTCCCTCTGTGTGGGTTCAATTACCTTAGTCAGGTTCTTGTATTGGCGAAAGTTTACTATGCTTAGCTCCCAAGCCAGGCAAGGAGCTTTACTTCCATAAGCAGACAAGTGTTCTGCTTCATTAGGTTAGTGTTCTTACTGTGCCTGCCTCCACCAATAACGAGTTGATCGGAACACGTTCTCTTACAGACATGTCATGTTCTTTATTCACTTTTGGCCTGTGTCATCCTTTTGGTTCCTCAAGTATTTCACAGGCTGAATATAACGAGTGAATTTCTAATACCGAATGCCAATGAAAGCCAAAAGATGAGTTTCAAACACCGAATTAGGTGTTTGTACAGGTGTACAGGTGCAACAAATACAAGCAATATGCATATAAGAAAACATGCAGTGCTTCAGTACTGCAACAATTAGCTGTGATTCGTAAACCTAGAGCAGCCCCATACATGTGAATTGATCTCAAATGTAAACCAGTGAGATTGGCAAATAATGCATGCGACTTATACAGACAACTTTGAGACATACAACTTCAATTTCCATCCAAGCTTCATGTCATCAGTAATTTGTGCTTACATGCATAACACTTAATATTGATTCAGCTTAAAATATGCAGCTAAGTTATATTCAATTTTTGAAAGTGAAGATGTAGGTGGCGATAAATAACTTACGAAAGTACAAGTAACAGTATATGGCAATGCATTTGAACGTCTATCACTGCCAGTTAAGTTCAGACTTCAGTGCTTATATTATAGATCGCAAGCTACATGTACATGTAACTTACCGATACATAACACTATACACGCACATGATTCAACGTGACACCGCTTTCCACAGTGTCGTGGTATCGAAGGCAGACCAAAATAGCGACTCTAGTGAAGCCGGTCAAAATTGTTGTCTGTTGTTAATATGTGGTTCATAACTTTGATCAATTACACCTTCTAAGCTGCAACTTTCATTCTACGATGCGGTCATAACGTCAGAGCTGTAGGCTGCCATATTGGCTGCGGCCCGCTTAAATAGTATTACATTGGTGCACTTCCGAGAAAAGTTGTATGGCGCGCCAACAGACGCGAAGTTACATTACAGTGCTGAGCGCCGCGCCGACGGCTAAATGGTGACAAATAGTCCTTTCCTGAGAGAAAAGGTATGGAACTTTGGGTCGGTTGGGTGTCCGTCTAGCCAGTTCCATATATTAATTAGGTTACAATCAGGATTAAACTAAGTTCTAAAGTGAGGCTATAGTTACAGCACTTTAGATTGGTTGCTGTCTGCGTCTTTTGCACAAATCTCTGCCAGATTTTATTTCCCTTTAAATACTCATCCCGCGGTATCTACATGTACACAGATGTACCCCAAAAAGAGGAAAATATCTGTGAAAGTAAATGTCGTATTCTTGTGGGGGTTTTCCTGATGATATACCCCATACATTTATTTGCAAAGGACGTTAGTTATGACAAAGACGATAAAGCTAATAATAGAAAGGTGTTTTTAAGTGATATGGAGCCATTTTATGCAACATCGTCGTTAGAATCCAGTACCGAACCTTCAAATATCATAAACTGATTTTTATCGACACCATCGAACCCTACTGAATTCTACAATATTTGAATATCAACTGGAACTTCGTTTAGACAATGACTTACTGTGGCAGAATAAAATCACAGCGAACCATATATTAAGGTCGGGAATCTGGCTTTAAAAAACTTTCTAGGCTAATGACCATCCGGGTGGCCATTAGTTCAACCCTGGCGTCAAATTTGTCATTCACATTCTTGTGAAAATCCCGGTTGCAAGAATATCATGATTTGTTTTGCACGAAGAGAGGAAATAAACGAATTTTCACTGCTCGAACAAGGCTACTGCATATTTGATTACATAAGACAATCGACTAACAAAATAATTCCATCAGACGTCTCGTTCCCATCACAAAAAAAGGCTTGCTGGCGTTTAGTGCACGACCCTGAACAGTAAGCAAAACTAAGTTGTGGAAGGAAACATAAGTGAGTGGCCACGAACAAAAAGCTGGAAACAGCTAGCGAAAAGCTGAAATTTAAAAAGTATCCACACTTTCGTATCGGGCAGGTACACAAAAAAGCTGATTTTTGAGGAAAAATCTAAAAGGAAAATACTCAAACTAAGCAGAAAAGCTGAATTCTCACACCACTGCCTATAGTGGCTTATCAGCCATTAGAAAATGATGACAGGTCAAAGTCTGCAGTGAAAACATCAAAGCATTTACTTAAAAAATACTTGAAATTTTTCAGACAAAACTCGCAGGATTTGTGGACAGGGTGTCAAGTGTTTGTAATGTATATCATCAATGATGGGGGGTTCTCTTTCTAGCATTGGATTTTTGACTGAAAAAAAGAGGGAAAGGGGAAAAATGAAAAACAAAATTGTGCTCATTTCGGGGCTCGAACCTGGGTCCACATTCTTGCTGGTCAGTGTTAGCTCCAAGTTCGTAAAAACAAATTTTACGCAGTTCTGTACCGGTAAGTTCGTGCACGGTTCGTGCAAGGGCCGCACTCAACTTCTCAAGAACATGACACTGAGTGTGCGTCAGCTCAGACTGACTAACGAATTTACCGATGTAACGGTGGAATCTTCCAAGAGTCACTTTTTTTCCAATCAACTTACGGCATCATCCTCTGAACGGTTGGTTTCCAGTCGCCGTTCAAGTTGCTTTGCTGCCGGCTCACCATCCATTTCCCCCTTTCAACTTCCAAGTACAGCCGAATTTGCAAACAGATCCTCTGCGGACACTCTCAAAGCCGAGAAATAGGGATTTTCGCTTTGCCCGTCAAGTTTCAGCACGTCAAGGCCAAATTAGGCTACGCTCCGCAGTCTAGAGTATGGTGTACTATTTACGACACACATTTTTTTTCTCTCTCTTGGCGATGAAACTACAGGACGCGACGGCTCGACGGCTCCCTTGCGTCGCGCCGTCGAGTCGCACTGGACGCGTCGCCTTCTTGCCTTTGCGTTTGTACACGCGCGTCGCCTTGTGCCGTCGCCCGTCGCGTCGTGCTGTCTTCCGTCCTTTCTTTGTTGCATTTTTTCTGCCTAAACATCGCTCCTTCCGTCTCCCGCTCCATCGCACCGTCGTGCGTCGCATCGCCGACTACGTCGCCTGAAGCACAACCCGACGCACGACATGACGCATGACGCGACACGTCGCGTGCTGTCTCCCTTTGCGTCATGGTATTTATAGAGGGCGCCTTTACTGTTGCCTTTCATTTCCGTCCCTCGTGCTTGCGTAGTAGGCCTACATGCTATTATTCGCTCTTTGCACGCTGCCGCCATTGGCATGCAGAGCCTCGAGGTAGCACCTTGTACAGTCGCGTCAGAAACCGTCAACGTAGCTTTGTCCAATCGTATGGTATACAATGGTAGAAAAACTGACGCAGCATGCCCAAATTACTAAGCAACACACACGGGAATCATTGTGTATAGCTACCAGACCGAGGCTCTGCATGCCTATAGGCGGCAGCGTGCGAAGAGGAAATAATTAAGTAGAGGGTCTTGTTTCTGTTGTTCTTTTTCATGCATTCTTTCTAACTTTGTGTTTTCATTAAGAGTGAGTTGTTAAAGAAAAAGGGGTTTTTTTGTTTGTTTGTTTTTCAATCAAATGTAATTTAAAAGAGCGTCACGACCAACAGCAGCATTGTCTTCAGGAAATAAATAACATCAGCCACAACGCAAGCCACAACGTTTTAGCTTTTCCTGCTCTAATTTGGTCTTTCTAATAATTATTTCTAATTCAGTTCTAAGATACATGTACATACATCAATCATTATTAGGTGTTTGCCAAACAGAGTTGAAGAAAGGACACGGCCACAATGACAATAGCGTCTGTACAATGTTTTATTCAGAAACACGAACTAATATCATTGAAAGTGTGGTGCTGATGAAGGTAACGAGGAAGACTGGCCTGAAGGAAGACTACGACGGAATATTCTGAGGGTATAATAGAGCAGGCTCGGTGGTAGCTTCCTAAACCCGGGGTCAAATTTATGGCTGTAAAATTGTAGACAAATTGTCTGGGAGACTGGGAGTACAACTTGAAAATTGCCGGGATGGACCAGAGAGAAAAACCGGTATCTATTAGTTACAAATCTACCACAAATGGGAACTTTATCGACGGTATTGAAAAGAAATCATTGGCTGGACAATTAAAGAGTGACAAATTCTGAGCTTCTACTTATTATGAGAGAGCAGTTCCGACTTATGCGGATTTCTTTTTGCTTTTTTTTTATTTTTTCAATAAAATTTGAGAGAAATTAATCCTAGTTGATGAATGGATAAGATAAAAACAAGAAAAAAATCAACACCAAAGAGCGAATAGCATGTACTTTGCCAGCACAGGGGACGGAAATGAAAGAAAACAGTAAAAGCGCCCTCTATAAACACCATGGAGCAAAGGGTGCCGGCACACCACGCGTCGCATCGTGTTGTGCATCGCGTCGTGTTTCAGGCGACGCGATGCACAACACGACGTCGCGTCGCACCGTCGTGCGTCGCGACGGGTGACGGAAGGGGCGGCGTTAAGGCAGAAAAAATGCAACAAGGAAAGGACCTAAGACGACACAACGCACTACGCGACGCGACGTTTGTGTACAAACGTAATGGCAAGAAGGCGACGGTGCAAACCGACGGCACGACGTAAGGGAGCCGTCGTGCCATCGTGTCGTGTATTACATTGCCTGGAGGGAGGCTAGAGAGAGAGAAATGTGTGTCGTAAATAGGCGACCATACTAGAGATATGCGCATATATCGCATGACGTGCGACGCAAGTGCGTGCGATGATTCTGACTACTCTATGAATCAAGGTTCCGGTATCACTCAATGTCCACGTGACCAAGACTGGAGGAATTCCTCCGTTTTTTCAGAAATAGCCGAAATATTCCGAAGTCGTCCCGTCTGTATATCCGGCATGTTCAGATGGTACCGCTGATGTTCGGTTATTCCCGGCCGGGTAGGTAGGCGGGCTAACTGTTGAACGCCGTATGCTTCCGTATCCAAACGGCAGCAGTTGATCCTACAAAGTACAATATTTGACTTTATACACTGAAATCGAAGGTCGCCTTGTCCGAAATGCCAGGCGAAATGCAGAATATAACTTTCTTCGACCAATGCAAGCTTAAATTTGTGACTGAAACATACTCTCAGTGAGGATACACTTGCAGTAGGCCTATTGCCCACTGCACCCCGGGATATGGGAAAGGCCTCATTTTTGAGATGTTGTCTCTAATGAATCAAAAACACCTGGGCTCTCAACTTGTGACCTCTGACCCTTGCGTCATATGTATTAATATCCGTGGGTGATGTTTGACCTAAGATTTTTTATCAAAAGTCGACACGGAATCGTAATTATTAGGCAGAGAACCAGGCTACGTGCGACGTGCCTATCTTACCTAACCCGCTGAGAGGGGGCGCTAGTGTATTCTTCAGTGTGGGGGCCACTTTTTATGGTGCACCCCTGTAAGTACATTTCCATAGACACAAGTGCTAAATCCCCATACTTCAAACATTCTTTTAGAAATACTCACAACTTTCACGGGTGTCCATATGCTGCTCAGCAAAATAATGTTCAACTCGTCTTTCATTTTCCTTGCCATTTTTGATGGGTTGACTTATTTTTTTTATTATTATAATTATTTCGCTAATTTCGGAGAGACTCACCTCGTAGGTTGCCCCTCGTGATACAGTCTGATCCACCTTTTGAAGTAATGGTTTCGTCTTCCATTCACATTCAAATTTAAATCAGTGCCCAGGTCCAGGCCAATGCACCCTGACTCCACCTTGTAACGTTGTCTCTTTGAAGCTTGAATCGCTGCGTCAGATCATGATTGGCGACGGTTTAGATTGGTTCTTGGGAAGGGTAATGAAAACTTTGCCTGTAACAAAAGGAGAAAGGAGGAATAGGGTCTCTTCTCCCTTACCTCATATAATTCTAATTACATTGCAGGTAAGTAACCTGTACATTATTGTCTAAGGTCATTGCTAAGCTTGTG